CCCCAAAACCCCAAACCCCAAAACCCCAAAACCCCATAGCAAAGATATCAGTGCAAGATTATGAGAAATAAATTAGGAGATTTATTTTTATCAGTAAAGGATACAACTAGAGTCATAAATATTTACAAAAATTAATTTTGCGAGACATTATATCATTAAATTATAATTGAGAATGACATCAATGAAATAAATCAAGCAGAGAGAAATTGAGATATTCGGCTTGAATTAGTCCCTTCCATTAGTAGATAAAAATTCTCTTGAATGAGCAAAAGATGAGATAGAGAGAACGTTGAAATTCTAGCAATCAAATAGACTGAAGAGTTCAAAGAGAATATCAAATCTAAAACTAGGAAGTATTTCAGAGGATGTAGACCTCTCAATAATTGAAAATAATGAGAGAGCAATGGAGAGAATCAATAAAATTAGAAGACACAATCAGCAAAGGTAATTTAAGAAATAAGTAAGAGATTCCATCATAAAACAGTTTGAAGACTAGAATATTGAAGTAGACTCGTAGATTTCATTAAGAGATCTTGATGGATTATTTCTTGGTGCAGGATTTGAACTGACAAAAGTCCAATAAAATGAGTTGTTTCTCTTAATGGAGGCTGGAAGGAAATTCAATTATGACAAACTAAGGAAGTGGGCCTATACTAATGCTAATTTCCTAATCAAATCAGATGGAAAAGTCAGACAGATTTCTATTTCACCTCCAAGAGCACAATTTAGATCTAAGACATTCAAAGCAGAAAAAAGTCTAATTGATAGTCCTCATAAAAGAGTCAATCCTTATGAGAATCTTAAATTGTCACCTCAAGCTTAGAAAAGATATATGTCCCCAGCAAAACTAGTGACTGGTGAGAAATTGAAATTTACGGCTAAAATGCTATAATCTAATCTAAGTAAGTGGACAATGAAGATACTGAGAAAGTAGGAGGATCATTTTGATGAAGATGAAGAGAGGAATGACAGGTAATTAGCCAATAAGTTAGTCTCGTTTCCGTAACCTATTTATGAAGAATTTAAATCGTTTCAATAATTAAACAAAAAGAAATAGTAGTTGAATAAAACATAGGACGATATTTAGAGTAAAAATGATTAAATTTCCTAAAAATAACGAAATCTAAGGAAGACATTTATGAGGACAACAAAGCTAAATTTCAATCTTGGAGAAGCTAATCTTGATAGTATAATAGAAGACTAGCCTTAAAAAGAGGCCAAGTAAAGAAAGCAAAGTCTTGGTAATCTACTTAATGTAACCTATACACATATGAAACAAGACTCATTAAAGTCTGAACTAAAAATAAACTAAAAAAATTATGAAAACTCTGATAATGAGTAAGAAAGTCAATAAATGAAGGTATAGATACTTAGCAAAAATCTTAGAAAAACATTCTATGACACAATGAACTAGACATTTTTCACTGAAACAAATACAAATTAGGTAGATCATGAAGATGATTATGGAGCTAAAATATCATAGCTTAATATCACAAATCAACTAAAATTATTAAAAAACTAATTGAATAATTAGTTCCAAGATTATCAGCCTGCCAAGAAAAAGGAGCAGAAGGGAGATTTGGATTAAAATAGAAGAAATGAAAGAATGAATAATATAAGGCTAAAGTCAGAACGTTACTTACAGGAAAGATCGAAAGTTTTACAAGTGTAGAATAGAGTAAAAGATATAGCATAATAAAACAGAGAACATAACCAAAAGATTCAGTTTCAAAGAAATTAGATTAACTAGGTCTTAGATGTTATTTAGAAAAATTAATCTGCAGAAATACTATTGAAGGAGGCATTTGAGAAGGTTAATCTCAATAATATACTTGCTGATAAATCTAAAGTAAAAGACTATTAAACTTAGGTTATTGATAGATTAAGAACGAGTAAATCTAAAAAAGAACGTGATATTGAGGCAAATGTATAGTATATGGCCTCGTTATAACCCACTGCTATTGGAATGCATAGGTTCACAAAAGTGATGAGAAAAGATAAAGTCTTTGAAAGCTAAAATGGGTATAAAATAGTATCTAAAATTTAGACTCATAAAGATAAAGAGAGAGTCGAATATTTACTTAATTTTGATCTTTCTCGCAATTGAACAATAATTTTAAATATCCTTCTATTGATTTAATTTGAAATTATAATTTTTACTTTTATTTAGATTACATGGGGTTTTGGGGTTTTGGGG